AGAGAGAGAGAGAGAGAGAGAGAGAGAGAGAGAGAGAGAGAGAGAGAGAGAGAGAGAGAGAGAGAGAGAGAGAGAGAGAGATTTGAGCAGCCTAGCAACACGTACGTCAATTGGCAAAAACATAAAACCATAAACAAGCTACTTGATTGCAAACATCAAGTTACTTGATTACAGAGTTAAACACCGCGGATGTTAGTTTAGGAGACGCGGGTCGGATAGAAAGAAAGAAAGAAAGAGGGAAGGCATGGTCCTCCCAGATGTGGCAACAGGCATCAGTTGCATCTACAGCGATCTGGTGCGCACGCTTCCTTGGTGGATCAACGACTGCCAGCTTCGCGCTAACCTGTGCACGGCTTCACACAAAATTGAAAATACCACAACGTTTGTACTCAAATCTTCAAAAACACGTTTCTCTCTGAAAAACATTTTTTTGCTCTATAAAAAGAAAATTTCTCTCTGTGTATGTAAACCTTTCTCTCTGCCTCTGAATCTTACGAGTCTGCACGTCCGGAGGACCGGGGCTTTTTGGGGTGTGAAATGTGCTGCACGATCAAAACCCCAATCATTATCAATATGAGCACTCCGAGTGCTGCCGAGAACAGAGACATTCCTGGCGATCGCCTTTGTTGGAACCCATAATAACTTTGTCCGCTCACGAGGATGATATCCGTCAGCCCGTCGTTGTTGAAGTCGGCGAATTGCAGTTCTTCGGTCGGCAACGACGGCAAGTACAGACCGCCGAACGTCGCCCCGAACGGAGTGATGAACACTGCCGCGTTCTCACCTGCAACCACGATTACGTCCTGGGGTCCACCGACACGACTGGCCATGACATGAATGGTCGGTACCGGCTGGAAGAAATGGTCGGCCACGCCGTCATCTCCGGAATCTTCGTTGGTAGCTCTCACCTGCCATGTGGCCTCAGTCCTGATCTGCCATAACTTCTTCGCGTGCCGTCCTTGGTGCTGCATGTGAGTGTTCTCCACAGCAAATGCTGTGACATCTCCACGGCTCGTCAAGAACAACACTCCACCGCCGACAGTCCGATGCTTCTTCACTTTGTTTCTTGGGAGAAGTACAGGTCTGGCCACTGTCAACGTCGAGCCCTCCGTGCGGAAAGCGAACCGCGATGCAAACTGGCGGTCCGCACACACGCTCCCATTAAACAACTGCTCCCGAACGGGCATACCTGTGGTAGCGATCGCCCAACAAGGCTTCAACGCTTCATCCATGCCAGTTGGAAACACGACTTCGCCACCATGTCCGCCAGCGACCTGCAGGGAATGCGAGGGAAACAGAGAAACCAAAGGCGCCAAAGACGATTTGACAGCGCGCTGAAGATGAACAAACATGGCTTAAAAAAAAAAAAGAAAAAAAGAAAGGGCGACGACCTTGAGATATCAACATCGAACTGATCGCCCCTAAGCGATTCAGAAAATTCTAGTATTCTACTAGTTCGGTGGAGTTCGAGCTCAGGTTAGTATTTCACACTGTTCAGGCGTGTACCAACTGCGCTTACAACGTACGGTCATTATATCTGAATTTAGACTGAAAGATACACCAAATTCAGCTATGATGACCATACGTTGTATTCGGGGGAAGACTGTAGGCCGGTTGGTAACACGAAAAAATTTGCAGTGCTCTTGTCAGAGAAAAAAAAAAACACGGAACAAAAAATATTCAGCGCTATGCACATAATTGATAATGCAAAGTTGTGCAAACTCTACAAWAAWAAWARCAWAAMAAGAGGGGGTAAAAAAGGGGAAAMAAAAAAAAAAAAAAAAAAAAGGGGGAAACAAAAGAGGTAAAGAAGGTTAGGAACATCAAATTCTTTTTTCAAGTTTTTGTTAATTGATTCAAACGACCACATAAAGAGTGAGTTGGGTACAACATATAAAGTATTATAAACAAAAAAATGCTGAGATTATGTGAGACATAGAATCATTATAGATACTTTTTCTAAAGAAGTACTTTTTTTTATATCCATGTGATTAACCAAAGTATACTGATATTGACCGTAAAATAAGAATTCACTATAAAAAAGCTAGGCTACCAGCCGGGCCGCCCGGGTCCCGGGTGGCCAGCCCGTGCAAGGAGGTCCCAGCAAAAAAAAAAAAAAAAAACAAATCCAAAAAATCCAAAAAAAAACTATGTTATGCAGAAAAATAAACTGAACAACTTTTGCCTCCGGGTCACATCGAAATTCTTCACCAAAATTAAAATAAAAATTAAAAACTAAAAATAATTTTTTTATTTTTATTTTTTTGGCCCGGCCGGGCAAGTGACCCCGGGCCACTCTGGTAGCCTAGTAAAAAAGTAATTTCATATTTTTTTTAAAGTTGTGACCAGGGTCACCAGCCCGTACGTACGGAGGTCCCTGGGCCGACCTCCGTACGTACGGGCGTTCGGGGTCCCGTACGGAGTCCGAACCCGATGGTGTTTGGCCCCCGCCAAAAATTATTTCGGGGTCTGAACTTTTTTTGTTTTTCTGATTTTTTTTTTTGTGAGTTCTCTATGACGTGAGGTACATGCCTATAAATTTTGAAGTCATTTGGCTCAGCCAAATAAGAATTAAAAATCGCCCAAGATGGCGGCGTCAAAACGTGCTCGCCCACGTTTTTTTTTACTTTTTACTTTTTGTTTCCACTTGAGTTCGGGGTCTAAACAATTTTATTATTTTTTGAAACTTTTTTAGTGGGTTTTGCATTATGTGAAGTACACATCTGTAAATTTTCAGGGCATTTAGCTATGCCAAAAAAAAATTGAAAATCGCCAAAGATGGCGGAGTCGAAAACGTGCTCGCACACTGAGTAAATTTAATTCTTTTTTTATTTTTTGTTATTTTTATTATTAGTATTTGTTTTCCATATTTTATTTTTATTTCAAATTTGGTAAGGAATTTGGATGTAACGCTCAGGCAAATCTTGTTTAATTTATTTTTCTTCATAACATATCTTTTCTTTTTTTTTTTTTTTTTTGGTCCGCGTTTGGCCCGAACGGCCGAACGCATCCCCAAGGGGTCCCATACGTTCAGGCGTTCGGCCCGTCCCAAACATTGGTTGTATAAAACGAAAAAAAAAGAAATTAGTTCAAATTACCCTGCTTGTAACAACTTGTATGTCTAAAACTAAAAAAAACTGAAATTAGTTCAAATTACTAAAAATAATAATATATGATATATCACTTAAATAATTAAATTCATATTATAGTAATTATAGTATTATTATACTAATTATAGACTTTTTTTGTTTTTTTTTTTCGTTAATAGGTACAGACCGTACAGCAAATTCAACAACCCAAAATCCTCCCCCCCCCCCCCCCCAACACCCCCGCCAATGTACTAACCTGCACATGGTCGATTACGCCGTCATCATTGACATCTGCATGCAGGCCGCCACTTGGAAGATTCATCTGTACCAAGAACATAAAAAGCTTGATTTATTAGCGCAAGGCTACAGAGGTCCTTTTTTGAAAATTTTGTTAAACCAATAGTACATGGCCTCAGGTAACTTGAGAAAAAAAACAATTGGCTAAATCCAAAGAGTTCATAGGCCCGGGGCAACCGGGCAAAAACGGCTGGAGCCTGCCGGCACCAGCGAAAACCGAAACAAGAAGCGCCACGCTGGCGTCTCGGCAAAAGCTCGGTGTGCAGGGGGAATCCGCCTCGTACAAACGATGCTCGGGTTTACTGGTCATTTTCTTTTTACTGAGGGGGGTGAAAGGGGGGGGGGGGGGTGACCTCCTTTTTTTGTTTTTTCTATTTCTTCCCCGAGGCTCCAGATGGTCCGAATTTTGCACTGAACATATTTCTAGTGGGTCGTTGACGAAGAACCAAGCTACAGTCCGCAATCAACTCGTCATTTTTTTGTTTTTTTTAAGGCTCCAACCATACAGAATTGGGAGCCAACCTGCATGCCAGGTATAGCGGGCTTTGCTCCACTACGCTCGACATGCACAAAAGACAAAAAGTCATGGCGGTGTATGTTTCCATGTTCTAGCGGAAGATTCACTCTCGTTTTGCACATTTCGAGAGTAGTGGAGCGAGGCCCATAATCTCTGCAAGAAACAAAACCATATATCTAGTGTGAGGGCATACTCACGCTAGTACTTTTCTAAATGCACCTGACCACTATTCCGCCCAGACCCGGATGCATCTGGCAGCAATCACATCCAGAGCTGAGTCTAAAAAGTACTCCTGTGAGTATGCCCTGATAATAAATAGGCTGATATATAGCAGCAAGTGTCAAGCAGACAGTGAAAGCACTGCACAAACCAATACTTCATTGAGGTTTCTTTTTTTTTTTTAATTCAAAGCAAGAAAGTTGAAGAAAACATATTTCGAGTGGGCACGTCCATGAACCAACACGTTTAGGTGCGCAATCAGTTCGCCATCGATTTGCAATTCACATACCCGTCCTGCATGTTGCGACGGATGTTTTAAGGTCGCATCACAATCGTGATGCGAACTTTCATCTGAATGAATTAGCTTAATAATTTTAATTTAATGAATTATATTTCCTTTCTTTCAAAGATAGGGCCACATCCTCGATATCATCATTGAGCTGAAAGGCCCCTGGTAATTTAGAATTGTCCGATTTCGTCACCTGATTTCATGTGGATTTGAATGTGGGCATGTATTTCAACAGTCCATGGGTATAACAACTGAGCTAGGCTCCTCCATAATTAACTAGCAAAATTATAAATTTAATATTTATAGATAGATACTATCATACTAGTGATTCTAGTACTGAATACAAAATAGTAAACAAAGAATAAAAATGAAAGAAAAAAGGAAGGAGGGATGTGAAGCTGAATATCACCACTATTTGCCGTATTCGGCATATTCGCACACCTTTTTTTTCTTTTTTTTCTCCCCTTGAGACTTGAATAGCAATGAATACAATACATTGTTGGCACTTTTTTTTTTTTTTTTTTTTTTTTTTTTTTTTTTTTTTTTGTTTTCTGGCTCTGAGGGTAAGAAACTGTCAAAGCGATCCATAGCTGGATCGTTTTGTAAGAAATTCTCACAACCTTACTAAGAGTACCAGGCCCAATTGGTGCTAAGACAGCATGAACTTGACCTACTGTATGGCCCAGGTTCATGATTTATGAGCATGAACATTACTCTAGTGAGGCCTTCCATGAAGAATATATATATGGCCGTATGACATTCTGCTTGCTGCATGCTGAGTGGCAACGCGGCTGGGTGGCCAGATGGGCATCACAATTTTCGAAGATTTTTTTTTTTGTTTTTTTGTGGAAGACTTTACTCGTGGTGCGTGAGTCCAAGACCCAGGGGGCATAAAAAAATTGGCAGATCTCTTTTTTTCTTTGTGGGAGATTTTAGCTGTGGGGTGCAAGTCGAAGATGCCGCAAAGTTGTGCAAACAAAATATTTCGGGACCTGCATTATGCGTTAAGAACTGGAACAATACAGAGAAGGCTAGCACGGAAAATAAAAACATATTTCATTCCAAATTCTTTCATTTCGAAAATTTGAAGTTCTGTTTTGGGAAAACCATAAATTTGGGATAATGATGATCAATTAATTATCAGATTATGCACATTAAAAAAAAAAAAAAAAAAAAAACATATTAAAAAAAAAAAGGGATTATGCATGTTTTCAAACTATCTGGCAAGGCTGCTGGATGTCTACATTGCCTACATTCGGAATCCCTGACTGTGACCGTCTGCACCCCAGTCAGGATGTCCAGATCACAGCGATGGTAGTCCTGACCATTTATATCACCACTCCCCTTCTGCCACCTCTCTCTCTCTCTCCCTCTCTCTCTCTCTCTCTCTCCCCCCCCCCCGTCGGCAATTAGTCCGCAGATTCATGGTAAAAAAAAATAAAAAAAATTCAACTTACTCTGCAGATGGGCCGTCCTGTGTATAGATGGATTGCCTCGATTCCATCGCTCAGATGTGCGACTATAGTATTTGGTGCCCACCAATGACCCGATTTATTTCCCACATGGGTCGGTCGGTAGAATGAATCACGGATCTCGTTGCGAACCTGCAGAAAACACATGTCGTCCACACACAAATATCCCAAATAATTTAATTCGCTGAAAGTCATAAAAAGAGTTATAAAAAAGTTTTAAAAAACACACAATATATCGTCACAAACAGAACTGCCCGGTAAACCGTAGGCCTGTCTCTTATACACATCTAGATGTGTATAAGAGACAGCGCTCCCATTAAACAACTGCTCCCGAACGGGCAT